TAGAATGAGCCGTTTTAGGTAGGCGTGGTTGACTCTTAACTTTTATAAAGAACATCTAATTGGATTTGAGACTTTAGTCTTTGCAACTTTACAGATCTTCTTTATGCACCAAGAGCTTGTAACACTTCAAAGAGAAAGGAAAAATTGAAATCGCATCATATGACTTTAAATCCTTCCTTAAGTGCAAGACAATGGGAGTAATAGCACATCTCTCCTCAAGAAAATACCTGATTTGTGGTATAATTCATGCCCATAACACAGGATGAGTTATGCACCAATGTTTAATACTTAGGGGTTGGCCATAAGTTTAATCAATACTAACAGTGATGCTTGCATTAGCGTGCCCTGGGAAACAAATAAATATTATAAGCAAGAGAGGAAAACAATAAGAGACAGAGAAGTGCTCACCACGGTGAAGTTCATGACCTTTAGAATCCAGATGGTCAAGGCTAGGTTGACAATCATGGTGACGAGGAGGAGGAGGATGAAGAAATAGAGACAGCGCTTTCGCCAGCCATAAATCCCCACCGGATACACAGTAGCACATCCCGGCCTTTGGAGGGGGTTTGGCTGAGATGCCAGGATGTACTGCTCCTGAGTCATCTAGCAAAAAAGAACGAAAAGAGATTGAATTGGTTTCACATTTCTTAATGTTCACAAGTCTTTCTTCTTTAATGTAGTTGTGGTGGCTTACAAGAGGAAGAAAGCAACAACTTCCAATGTGCATTGAACGAATACACTTTAAATGTATAAATGCACAGTTTCATTGACCTTTTCTTTGATCCAATTAGTTTCTCTGCAGTTTATCTTCTGTTTGTGTAAGAGAATCATGTCAATGCTTTTCCATGCATTATTAATTAAGCATTGCTTAACTAATTGACAGTGAAACAAAACAATACAAGAGAAAAGAGTTCTGGTATAGGAATGTGAAAATGAAGATATTTATATATAAAAAAGATGACAGATGATTGAAATAACAGCATATTTAGGTGCAAGAAAAGTCTTAAATGAAGAAATAAAAACTGGAGAAACCGCAATTTTAAATTATGCTAAATTTATAATTAGAATTAAAAAATGGAGGACCAAATCAGCATGTTAGAATGATTTCTGAAGGATCATGTGACAGCAACAACTTCCAATGTGCATTGAACGAATACACTTTAAATGTATAAATGCACAGTTTCATTGACCTTTTCTTTGATCCAATTAGTTTCTCTGCAGTTTATCTTCTGTTTGTGTAAGAGAATCATGTCAATGCTTTTCCATGCATTATTAATTAAGCATTGCTTAACTAATTGACAGTGAAACAAAACAATACAAGAGAAAAGAGTTCTGGTATAGGAATGTGAAAATGAAGATATTTATATATAAAAAAGATGACAGATGATTGAAATAAAAGCATATTTAGGTGCAAGAAAAGTCTTAAATGAAGAAATAAAAACTGGAGAAACCGCAATTTTAAATTATGCTAAATAATTTATAATTATAATTAAAAAATGGAGGACCAAATCAGCATGTTAGAATGATTTCTGAAGGATCATGTGACACTGAAGACTGGAGTAATGATAATGAAAATTCAGCTTTGCATCACAGGAATAAATTATTAGAATATGAATAAATAATGGTTAGAGAGTCGGACTTGAAACCCGAAGGTTGCGGGTTCGAGTCTCAGGTCCGGCAGGAATTGTTGGTGGGGGGAGTGAATAACCAGTGCTCTCTTCCACCTTCAATACCACGACTGAGGTGAGACCCTTGAGCAAGGCACCGAACCCTCAACTGCTAACGGTGTGTGTTCACAGTGTGTGTATTCACTACTGTGAGTGTGCACTTGGATGGGTTAAATAAATGCAGAGCACAAATTCCGACTATGGGTCACCATACTTGGTCACACGTCACTTCACTTTCACTTTTCACTTTCAAAATAAAAAACAGTTAGTTTAAATTGTAATAACCCCAACATGCTAATGGAAAACTGTAAATGTAAGTTGTTCATAACACACTATTACGATTAGAATGCTACTTTAGAAGACAACTGTCTATGTAGGCAGTAGTCAACAAGGCAGCTTGCTATGTTTTACAACAAAGCTAGAGAGGGAGAAGTGGTACTGGACGGGAGAATACGTGGGATGAGGAAAAAGTGGACAAAAGGTTGTCACTTCTTCCACAAGCTCCATCAGTCAGTCATATCTTCCTTTTGCTTTTTAATTCACAGTCTCTCAGCATGCATCTGCTCAACTAAAGACCTCAAGCACATCCGCTGTGAAAACTCCCCAACCTTTCCGTAACCTCAAAACTCCCTTTAGCCAGCTCTACAGCTCGAGAAAACTCTTCTTAAACTTCCTCCAAACACTCTTCAACAACTCTCAAATCTCCACCACACTATTCACTCTTAAAAATAAATGTTCCAATTAAAGCAAAACGGGTTTACAGCCTGATGTCAGAAAAGGAACCTTTTATTTAAATGCAACAAAGGACTTTTTATTTTCTAGTTCTTTAGAAAATGGGTGCTGTAGAGGTAATTTTTCCATGTTAGAATACTTTCTCCTATCTCAGTTGTGCAGAGACAACTATGTACAGACCATTCGTAGGTAGATTTCCAAAGGAATATAAACACTGTGAGTCTTTCAAAACATTGTTCTGTTTGTTCGAGCATGTCCAACTATTTTTTTCTCAACCAATGCAGTAAAGTTTGTGGATGAGACTACATGTTTGATCGAAAAAATGGAAGAATGAAAGAAGTTGCACAGTTTGGTAGCACTAGTGAGCATATTCCCAGCTGGGACAAAAAATAAATAAAAAATACCCAAAAACCCCTCTAAAACCAGCTAAAGAAAGTCCAAAGAATGAACTTAAGCTGCAACTTCAATCAATCAATCAATCTAATCTAACCTAACATCTAATCGTATCTAACTGTATCTAATCGTATCGTATCGTATCGTATCGTAATGTAACATTTCATTTTGTTTTTAAGCTCCAGGTTTACTTTTTCCTTCTTTGGGATGCACGATGTGGCCCAAAATTTTGTGATTTATTAATAATAATTATATCATTATTCAATCAACAATAATTATATAATTATTCATTATTACTCTTCAGCATTGATAAACATATAAACCTTGCCTTAGCAATAGCTCTCTCTCTAACACACTGGTAATAATGACCTTTGCTGCTCCTGTTGTGGTGAAGAGTGAGTATGTGCACATTTTCTACATATTTGTGGTGCACAAATCGAAAAAAGTGGGTTTTAGTTGTTGTGGAGGAGTGTAGTTAATAGTCAGTTTCCACCAGTTTCAGCACATGGGTGAAAGAGATCATTCTTTTTCTCTAGCCTCAAGTCCTCATCAGCTATAAATATCAAGGGCGATGGAGAGGGAAATATCGGATAGTTTTCACTACATTTTTTTTTAAACCTTTCAGTCTCCCACGCATACTTTAGCAATACCATTTTAGCCCATCTTTTTTCTGGCATTCTCTTGTGGTGGTATCGTCGTATATCTCTCACCCCCAGTGTCTTCATATGTCCTCCCTTTTATATCTCTTGGTGTGGTTCCGTACCCGATTAACTCCACCCCTGACCATCCCTCTCTATCCTTCCCTGTCTTGCTCACTCTTTCTCTCTTTGTCTCTCCGGTTCCAATGCATTTCTAAAAATGTATCTGACAGCAGAGTGATCCATCAAATGCATGTGCAGCTGAGCCGGACCAGAACGGCACCCTGCCTACAGCCTAACACTATTAACATGCTCACCAACTACTCACTCACTCAGATTACATCTGCTTGTTCCAGCAGAAAGGGAGAGAAGAGAGAGAGAGAGAGAGGGGAGGTCAGACAGACAAACAGAGCTACAGAGAGATTAAAGTGCAGGACAAGTAAATAACAAAAGCAGGAGCTAAAGATAAGGTTAAGCCACTAACCAAGTCAACAAGCTTGGCCAACTCCTAATTTCTCATCTATCCATCCATCCATGTATTTTTAAGTAAATAAGTTTTTATTCATGTATTTATTTGTTTGTTAAATTCATTCATTCATTAATTGATTTATTCATTCATATTTTTGCAGTTTAACCCTTATGTTTTGTTGATGCATCTTTTAAAACAAAATAAAATAGTTGTTTTAATTTATATATCAGCACATATGGGCATAGCCACATCCCTCTGCCCGAAACTTCTGTGAAAAATAGAAGCGATAGACTGTCCAATGTGTCATGATTGCTTTTTTTTTCTTTATAAAAGGAGCTATGAGTCATACAAAGCGGATCCACACACACTCTCTCTCTGTCACACACACACACACACAGGAACACACACTCAAATCTTGTAGGGAGGTACAGTAGCCTATTACCCTCTCTTTAAAACCCTGCTATCCCAGCAATACACCAGCAGATTGTGCTAACCTGCCCTGCTAATGATGTTATACTCCACTGAACTATATCTGGTCACAGTCTGCAGAGACTTCAAAGTCTAGACACTCCTAGTTTGGAGTTTGAGGAAACAAAGATGGAATACAGCAATTTTTGTAGTGGAGTACTGAAGCATTTTTTACTATTATTATTATTTTCCTCCTTGCTACTTTTCAACCATTCATTCAGCACCAGCTGCTATCTAAACTTAGTCTTTAGATTATTGCAGCCTTACAGTAAGTATGCTATTGGTTCTATAAACATTATTAAGAGTTTAAGAAATGTACGGTTCAAGGGCCTTTCACACCAAGGACGATAACTAAGGCATTAATATAATAATATAATAATCATTCTAAGTGTGTGCTTATAATAAACAGAACATTATCATCTGTTGGTGTGGATGCTAACATAATTATTCAATTCAATTCAAGTTTATATGTATAGCGCTTTTCACGATACAAATCGTTGCAAAGCAACTTTACAGAAAATTAAGTTTCTACAATATATTTAGTAGTAGCTTATCAGTGGTGACTGTCAGTTAATGTACATATGGCAGAAATGTACGGAAAAATCAATTAAAGATGTAATCAAACAGACAATTCTATTAATTAACAGCAATTATTATATGATGCAATCAAACTTAAAATTAATAAACAAAATTATCATTATAGCGTAGTGATGTATGAGGCACAGCAGTCACTTTCAAACTAAGTTGTTGGTCAACGACACAAATTGGCATGACTCATTTTTTACCCATTGTAAAATTTAAGCAGGGAAAACTTTTGCCCGCATACGAAATTCACAACTGCATGGATTCCCATTGACACTTGCGGAAATTTGCCAAACAATTGTAAATGTATCCATACCTTTAAGATGTAAAATATCCCATTTACTGAAACAGATTCAAAATCTAGCTCACAATGATGACGTCATTCGCGTACTAAATTTGTAAATGGTTTCCATTACATATCATCTTGCAACACATACTTAAAGAAGGCTCCTCATCAACAGTGAAGATATTCTTCATTCAACTCCCACACTCTGAAATTTGAAGAATTCAGACAGTACTATTTTTTTTTAATCAATGCGTGTTTTATAAAGATAATGCATTAATGTTTGTCTCTGAAGAAAAAAAAAAAAAAAAAAAAGAAAAAACAGGAAGTTTCCTTTTTAATTAAGTGTAATTACCATTTAAAATGTCCTA